TGGGAAGGAGAAAGGGTTTATCAAAAGAAGTTTGTACGAATTTATTCAGGTGGTAGGGGTTGCTTGACAATAAATTTAACAAAATTCTTAGAACTATACACTAAAATTTTGGATATTGCTGTATGTAAAGTATATGTTCATTATAAATTGACAAAAATAACAAGGAAAAAAACAAATAATATCAAAACATGTGTGTACAATGAAAATAATCAGCATGGTCCCCATAGGCAGTTTAATTGCTTCTTTCCTGGGAAAGTAGGTTGAGGAATTGTAGATGCTCTCACAAGGGAAATTCCTTGGAGAGCTTCATGCCTCTGTAATTCCCTCCACGTCCCCAGGTGTTAGCCTTGGAAACCCCAGTACCACTCAATGTGACATCACTTCAGAGGGACCAGTCTGCACGCTGAACCCACTTGGTGATTGATTATTCATCTGAATACTAATACTAGTTAGTACACAGAGGTCTTATCCCCGGATTTGCTATGAGCCTGTAACCATAGTTGGGGACAACACCTGAAGATAAAAATGAAATTGATTGACTTTTAGATGATAACCTCTTATTGAGATTTGTTATTTATGGACACAATTCTGTGACACGGGTAATCTTATTATGTTAATGCTTCCAATCAGGAGGAGGTAAGAAGAAAGAAAGAATGCATGGTAGGTTCAGGAATTAACTGTGTTAATATTCCTTCCTCCATTTTACCCTGCCTTAGAAACTTTGCAATCCTATGACCGTTATCTGTAAAAGAGCTCCTCTGATAGGATTTCTGTGTTATTCTACAGCTGAGATTCTGATCTCAGACTCTCTGTTCAGAATTGACTCTTCCTTCTCTCCCAGCAGACAGGTAAGCATCTATATTACACACACACTTTTCAGTCAGTCATATAATTCATACAAAAGCAGTGGGACAGCTATATTTACTTTGAGTTATGTGAGGGCAAAAATAAATATTTTCAATGTTTTTCTGAAACAGTGAAGTGAGACTGAGGTATACACGTCCAAACTTCCACCGACAGGGAGTTCGCTGCTAAGTTATGAAACATCACGCTGCTTTCCTAAAGATGTGAATAGAAAAATAACATAGTTTATTCTCTGATTGATTGGTAATTTCATCTTGTTGACTAAATGTCAGCTTCTCATCGGAGGTAAATAAATGAATAAACAAATACTAACAAATAAACCCAAAAAAGTAAAATAATCTTTAAACTATAAAGGTGTCTAATATGAATTAACAAAATCCAAGCTGCATTTTAACCTTTTCTTCATAATCTCATGCTCATTGTTATTGGCACACCTACATCTTGATAGTGAATGGCTAAAAGCACAGACTTTTGATTCAATCAAAAGTGGATTGAACTCTTAAACCTTAACTCTTTCTCATACTAGCTGTGTAATTTTAGAGCATCAGATAACTTCTTAAGTCCTTAATTTCCTCAATGCTAAAGTAGAAATAATGCTACTAGTTATCTTATACACACACATGTACATGCACATACACACCAAAATTGATATATAAAGCCCTTATTGGTTACAGAATGTAGCGGATGCTAAAGTGGTCATGTGTGCTCAGGTTGGCAAACAGAATGTCTTCATGGGATAGGCTTGTAAAGTGAAGTTACAAAAGTCTTAGGAGGAAGATATTAGTAGTTGGTAGAAGGTAGATGCCCTTCCAAAGGCTTGATGCCCTTGAAATTCAAATGAAAATATTTAAAGTACTGCTCCTAAATAAAAACAGGTTCTAATAAAATGTTTGACAACAAAGTGCTTCCACCAAAATAGATCCACAGGATAAAGACAGCCCACCAGCAAGGGACTTTCAATCCCTGACCTCTGTGATTCTGCCATGAGATGACAGTAATGGGACAAAATATGAGTATGAAATAGTTCCTTTCTTTAAAAAAAGGAACTATTTCAGGCTAAAGTATGACTTCAAGGCAGAAATTAAGGAAAAGAATGGCTCACATGGAATGTCTGGAGCCAACTGTATGGGCAAAGAAAGGATAGACTTGGAAACACTGCAGAGCACCGACTATCTCAGTGGCCCTAGTGTGAGAAAAAAGACAAATTGAAGTGGAAGGCTGTAAGGCTTCAAAGCTCATGCAGCTCTGAAGCCCTCAATGTCACCAGCCATTTTTCCCAAAACAGCATACAGACAATCATCCCATCCTCATCATAATATGACAGCTATCATGTATCAGACTGTGCTAAATACCCAGCATCTTATTGGTTTTTAAATGTATTCTCTTATTTAATTTTCATAATAATACTATAAAGTAGGCCTCACTACTGTCTTAATTTTGCTGGTAGAAATACGAGGTGTAAGTGAGCTAGGTTAGGATGAATGACTCCTAGGCAGTAAATGGTAGGGCTGATAGCTACCTCAGCCCAGAGCCTGAGCTCTGCACACAATGCTACGTCTTCCGCTCAGATCACCCCTGCCGGTTTTACAGCCCCTGCTGGTCCACTCATCCTGTCACGTACACTGTGCCCATTTCTCTCAGTTACTTCACTGTGAAACCCCAAGCATTGCGTTTGGAATAATGAAGACAATAAGTGAC